GGGGGGAACCCCTAAGTCTATAAATGTAAATAAATGTATATGTCTATAAATATAAATGAAGACAATGTAAATATATAAATAAAAATATAAGTAAAGAATATGTATAAATAAATCAATATAAATAAATATTAAATAAATCAATAAGTCAATGTAAATAAATCAAAATAAATAAGTAAATAAGCAAACAAATAAATAAATAAATGGAAGCCAAGATCCTTCAAGACCAGGCTGAGACAGGGACGCGCGCTCTACACCCACAGCACCAAGCACAGTGCTTGGTACACCCAGACACTAAAGAAATGCTTGTTAAATTAATGAGTGAATTCTACATAGTTTATACATGAACGCACTGTCCTTTCTTTTATCTAAAATCCAGCTGCAAAAGAATGTGGTCTTCTGGCCCCTTCTGGCCCCTCCCCCCCCGGCCTTTCTTTACCTGCTGAGAGTGACCACCGGAGCACAGTTAGGTGTGGTCCAGGAGGAAAACTGATCCTGGGGCCCGGTGACGTTGGCCATCAGGAGGACGTTGGGGAGTGGCAAGGAGGGCACCGAGGAGGTCACCCCGAGGATCACAGTGGTAGACCCTTCATAGACATCCATCCAGCTTCCGGGCTTAGTGACCTAGAAATCAGCCCCAGGTACAAGGGTCAGAGAGAAGCGGAAGACAAGGGTGCAAGAAAAGAGGGGCTAGGAAGCAGCACTTCAACTTGGTGGCATGCTTGGAGCACCCGTGCTTCTCAAAGGTGTGTGGCACACTGGGCTGGGCCATGACCAGGATCCATCCTTCCTGTGGGTCTCCCCAAATAGACCAGCTCACTGGTAACAGGAAACTGTGTTGCTCTTCTTTGTGTCCTCTGCATTATCTAGCTTTAAAGATTTTATTTATTTATTTATTTATTTACTCACTTATTTATTTTATTTGAGATGGGGACAAAGAGAGTGGGGGAGGGGCAGGGGGAGGAAGATGGACAAGCAGACTCCTGCGCAGAGTGGGGAGCCCTATGTGGGGCTCCATCTCATGACCCTGAGATCATGACTTGAGCCCAGATCAAGAGTTGGATGCTTAACCAACTGAGCCAACCGGGTGCCCCTGCATTATCTAACTTTAAAAAGATGCATTAGGGGCGCCTGGGTGGCTCAGTCGTTAAGCATCTGCCTTCGGCTCAGGTCATGATCCCCAGGTCCTGGGATCGAGCCCCGCATCAGGCTCCCTGTTCAGCAGGAAGCCTGCTTCTCCCTCTCCCACTCCCCCTGCTTGTGTTCCTTCTCTCGCTATGTCTCTCTCTGTCAAATAAATAAAATCTTTAATAAATAAATAAATAAATAAATAAATAAATAAATAAATAAATAAAAAGATGCATTGGTAAGAAAAAGCTGAAAGGCATTAAAATTTTATTCCTCCATCCTCGGGTAGAAGAAGCCAGCAAGGCTTCCAATGATCTGGAAGGGAGATTATGTAAAGAAAGTTCCAGAAGAGGAAGAGAGGGAGGAAAGAGCTGTTGAATGGGGAAGACCCAAGCAGCCCAATGTGAGGGAGGTTTGGAGAGCTTTCTGCAAGGTGAGGGAGGGCCCAGCTTGTTGCTGGATCTTAAGTGAAATAAGAACCTGTTCTCTTGCAACATCTGATGCTGGGGCAGGACAGGGAGACTGGATGCTTGGTACTAGTTTCAGCTAAGACACCCCCACCTCACTGTCCAGGGCAGGCAGAGAAGCCTCCAAGGAACCACAGGGACCAGGGTAAGGACATTTGAGGGGGGACCCCTATGTTCCCAAGACCAGAGGGACTTCTCCCAATGTTCTAGACTTTGTAGGACCATCAGAACCATTTCACAGCCATGGTGGAACTGGGGACAAGGGGAAAGCCCCAGGAAGGACTGAAATTTAAGTTCTCACCAAGCTGACTAGAAGGTGCTCCTAGAAAAGTGAGTTTTTATTTTGAAGGGAAAAAAAAAAAACATTTCTTGGAGCCCATGTTGTAGAATGAGATTCTTATGTATCATAAAACACAGGGGGCTGCATACATTGAGTAAGTGATAAATAAACATTTGTGGGTGATGTTTCTTAGAGGTGATGGCAGAGATTCTGAGGAGTGGGGAGAAAGGGAATCACCTAACTGTGTGGGTTGGATCCTTTCAAGTAAACTTTTTTAAAGATTTATCTATTTGAGAGAGAGGGAGCATGAGTGGGAGGGGCAGAGGGAGAGGGAGAGAGAATCTCAAGCAGACTCTGTGCTGAGCCCAGAGCCCAGGGTTGGGCTCGATTCCATGACCCTGAGATCACGGCCAGAGCAGAAACCGAGAATTGGATACTCAACCGACGGCACCACCCAGGTGCCCCTCAAGTAAACGTTTAACTCCCCCATGGGGCAGCTTCGGCAGGCAGGCTTTCCCCCTCCCTGGTATGGTCTGAGTTTCCTGCTGCCTGAATCACTACGTGTCCACCCAGAGAATCTTTTAATTTCAGGTCAAAGAGAACATATTCAGAGAATAAACCTCCTGCCAAAACATCACACCCCAATAGAAATGACTGGAATTTGGAATCTGGATTTCCCACGTCACTGCTCCTTCTCCACCGAGACTGTGTTAGGAAGGAGCACGCCCCCAGGTGGCCGGCTGATGGCCCCACTCCGCAGACCCCTGGGGCAGCGCAGAAACCAGGGAGCGTCCGGAGCCATGAACTGACTGGCTGAAATCTGAGGGACTTTGTCAGGGAGTAGCTCACTGTTGTGTGAAGGCATCTCCAAATCAAGCTCAGATCGTCTCCACTCTCTCCTGTAAGTCCTCGCTGCTTTGTGACTCCATCACAGGGATTCCTGACTGCAGACCCTCCCTGTGCACTTCAGCCTCCTGCCTTCGCCCTGGGACTTGAAGTCCCTTGGCCTGGAATGTCTTCCCCCTGCTCTTCACTTACCAAAGTCTCAGCGATACCTCAAAGAATGACTTAATCTCCCTCTTCTGGGGAGCCTTCTTCAACTGCCGAAGTCCCAAGAGTGTTCTGAACCCCCTAAACACTGGCACCCCCTCTCTCTGCTCATGCTTTAGGGATCAGCTGGTCCAAACCACCTGACAGAGCTTTCTTAGCAGTTACCATTTTATAACACACCCTTTAAATTGACAAAGTCATAAGCTCCTTGGCAGGGACACTATTGGATCTCTCTACATCTCCTGCCTCGCACGCAGCACACAGCTTGCCGACTGAGGAGCTGGTTCTGCCACATCTGCAGAGGAGCACGGGAGGTCCAGCTAGACCTCTAGAGGGAGGCGGGCAGACCCTCAATAAGATGTTATTTTTTTATTTTTTAAGTAAAATCTACCCCCAATGTGGGGCTTGAACTCACGACCCCAAGACCAAGAGTCTCATGCTCCACCGACTGAGCTAGCCACATATCCCAAGCTATGTTAAAATGACCGCCCCATACTCTCAATGGTCCCATGCTTCCCAGGCCAAAAATGCTCACTTCCATTGGCCGTACCACCACCCTTTAGGGGATGTAGAATCTGGGCAAGGCGATTCTAGGGACTTGGCTCTCAAACAAGGCTATTTCTAAAGCATCCCAGAGAGAAGAGTTTGGACGTCAGAGCAGGGATTCTGACAGCAACCTTCATTCCCTCTAATGCACCATCCCCTCCCTAGTGGCCCTGGGAGGGTGCCTATGGACACTGCATGGAGACTGAGCTCTGATGTGCCCTTTTGCAGTGTGTAATTCTGTTTCCTGAAAGCGTACGCCCTGTGGGGAACCCCACGAGGCCTTAGGCACAAACGGAGCTGAACTTGGGATCCAGACCGTCTGGTTGTCTCTAGCCATAGCAGCTTCCTTCTCCTCCCAGAGCTTTCAGAGGCCACAGCATTTTTGGATCAACCCTCGGGAGCAAGTTTTGGAAAGGGAAAGGGAGCGGGCTCTGAGCTGCCATGCTGGTACCTGGATAAAATTGCTTTCAAACACCACCGAGTCGGAGAACAAGTTGAATTCTGGAGAATGAATCAGTTGACAAAGAAGGCCATCTTCCACCCCAAGTTCCACTCCAGGGCCTGGTTCCCTGACCTCTGGTGGGAGGCCCCTAATTTTACTCATCGGTTCTTGGGACAAACGGGCTGGGGACCATCTCTGGGGCTCCACGCAGACCCAGCCCAATTCCGAGGTGTTGGTGTGACCACTACTCCCCCCACCTCCACATCTCCACCTCCCCTGCAGACTTACAGGCTGTCCACCAGGCCAGGGAGGGCCTGTCGGCTCACAATGGCAGGCATGACATCAAGGAATGTGATGGCTAACAACAGGAAAGGAAAAATAGAAAAGTCAAGGAAGGATTGGGGGTGAGCAGGGCTTTTTTTCTCCCCTTTCCTATGCACTACACACTAGCAATAATGTAGTCTTAGTCCATTTTCCCTCAATCTCTCTGTAGCCATGAGGAAAATGACTGCCCCATGGTTATGCCAAGAGAGCAGTGAGCTGGCCAGAACAGCAAGGCAGGCTCTCAGGAAGCCCATAGCCTTCAATCCTCTCCCCCCATGGGGAAGCCCCTCACAAAAGCTTTCTCTGAGCGAACTGATCACCTAAAGTCAGGCCCTCACCTGGCCAGAGGAGCTCAGGACAGAGGCAAGCAAGTCACCCCAATCTTTCCTACCCCATTTCATGGGATAAATGAGAATTTTTTTTTTTTAAACCAGGCTGTTAACAAAGCCAAGAGGCTTATTTATTTGGAAACAGTGGGCAAATGAGGATGTGTGGCCTAGTGGTATGCCAGAGCCAGCGCAAAAGAGATTGTGAAAACTGTAAAATGTTCAGGAATTTTACAGGGCAGTTGTTAAACACAGCCATTATTAAAAATTTAATTATATAAACTATATAAAAATTTAATTATATAAACACAGCCATTATTAAAAATTTAATTATATAAAATTATATAAACGTATATAACTTATTTAAACTTAAATAAATTATACAAAAGCAAAGGTAATGGTCCAAACTCATCTTCTTAATTACTACTCTCTAGAGGTTATTTACATCTATTGTCCCTACATGGTAGAAATACTATATAATGGAGCACTGCGACTGCCTATCTCTTCTCAGCATGTGTTCAGGAACTTCCTGTCGGTCACTGCCTTCAAACCAGCCGTGTTGAGAGTTATTTACATCATGGAGCCGGTAAATGCTACTCATCACGCCTTGATTTATTGTTTTGTTGGCTGTCTAAAGCTATAGAGAAAATGTTAATGATGCAGTAAACTTAAAAGTGTGTCTGTAGGGACGCCTGGGTGGCTCAGTTGGTTAAGCGGCTGCCTTTGGCTCAGGTCATGATCCCAGGATCGAGTCCCACATCGGGCTCCCTGCTCAGCAGCGAGCCTGCTTCTCCCTCTGCCTGCCGCTCCCCCTGCTTGTGCTCTGTATCTCTCTGTCAAATAAATAAATAAAATCTTTTAAAAAAAAAAGTGTGTCTGTAGCTGTTGTATGGTAGGCACAAAAATATCTGAGGTGTCTCCCACTATATTGAAAGTTATCTGATTTAGCAAAGAAGTTGCTAAAGTCCCTGCTGAACATGTAAAGTTCCAACATATAACTTGCTTAGTTCTCTTTCTTCTTATTAATGTAAGTGGGAAAATCAGCCAGCCTTCATGTCAGAACTACACTTTGTCAGTTGTGTAGGTTGGCGAGGAATACAGGAGTTTGACAAAAAACAGTGAAAGATTTGTGAGAATCAACTGGCCATATGAAATGGACAAGAGTACTGTGTATTTTATTGTTAGTTGTGAATTGTGTGCTATACATTATGTCAGTCAATTTTTTTTTAAGATTTTATTTATTTTAGAGATAGAGAGAGCGAGGAAGTGGGGTGAGGAGCATGGGAGAGGGACAAGCATACTCCGTGCTAAGCACAGGGCCTGACGTGGGACTTGATCCCACGGCCCTGAGATCGCAACCTGAGCTGAAATCAAGACTCAGACGCCCAAGAGACTAAGCCACCCACGCGCCCCAATGTCAGTAAAATTTTAGAGAAAACATATATAACACATATATGTACATATATGTATATGTCTGTGTGTCTATATTACATATAATTCTATAATATAGAAAATTTTTAATTACTAATTATAGTAATAATATTGAATTCTAATATATATACTATGTATAGTAATTATATACAACATGTGTATTATGTATGATTTATTATATATTATATACATTCCCCCTCAGAGAGCTGGTGTCAAACATTTACTAGTATAGCATTGTAGTGGCACCAACCCCTTCCCTCCCCTTGCAATCTTCTGTTTTTGGTACCAGGACAAGAAACATCCACTCAAAGGTTTCTTCAGGGTGCGTGAAGTGGAGGAGCGGTGAGGTAAGAGTTATCCCTCTCTGACTGGACAGCTACCAGGCTCTTTCACTTTGGTGTTTATACAAGAAGCAAGCCAAGAAGGTAAGTCAGTTCCCCCATGTCTTTTAAACTCTCAAGACACACACTAGTGCAATCCTCCCGTGCCTGGGGTTAAATGTCCTGGTGCTTCTCTTAACATGAGGTGGGAGGCCTGCTTCTCACTGGTGTTTTTTCTAAAGCTGTTACATCAGAGGCAGAAGTTTACAACTTAGTGGCTAATTTCTTCTTCTACTTTTTTTTAATATATTTTTTAATATTTTATTTATTTATTTATTTGAGAAGAGAGAGTGAGAGAGAGCACAAGATGGGGGAAGGTCAGAGGGAGAAGCAGACTCCCTGCCGAGCAGGGAGCCCGATGCGGGACTCGATCCCGGGACTCCAGGATCATGACCTGAGCCGAAGGCGGTCGCTTAACCAACTGAGCCACCCAGGCGCCCCTTGGCTAATTTCTTCTTAAGTCTTGATCATTAGAAAACTTTTATTTTTATTGATACAAAATCTATAATACTGGAAATTCAAATATTCAAACAATCTTCAAGGTCATTATTTTTCCTTTATCACGGTATTTTTTTTTTTTAAGATTTTTATTTGTCAGAGAGAGAGAGCGCACAAGCAGAGGTGGCGGCAGGCAGAGGGAGAAGCAGGCCCCCCACCAAGCAAGAAGCCAGATGCAGGACTCTATCCCAGGACCCCAGGTCATGACCTGAGCCAAAGGCAGACACTTTACTGAGCCACCCAGGTGTCCCAGTACTCTGTTCTTGACATTTTTTCTCCTTCCCTTGTAAAAGGTTAATGTCCATCAGTAGAGCACCAGTTAATCTATGAAGCTTCCATACGATGTAATGTTTTGCAGCCATTAAAGGAATAAGGCAACTTTATATATACTGATATGGAATGATTACTGAGACCTATAAAGTTAGAAAAAGATGAAGAACAGTATATATAAATTGCTATCACTTGGATAAAAAGTATATTAAAAAAGAATATATACTCATATATGCTTGAACACTCCCAGAAAATTTCTGGAAGGATAAAAATGTGGTTGCCCTAGGAGGGGTAGGGCATTGGTAATGGTGGTGAAAAAGGACTTATTTTTCACAGTATACTTTTTGTACTGTTTAAATTATTTACCATGAACTGTATTTCTTTTAAATAAATTTTAAAATAAAAAGTGTGAAAGAAATTGCCTACATATGGCTCTACAGATATTTGCTGAGAAGTAACTATGTACAAGATAAACTTTTGGAAGGATCATTATTAGCTCTAAAAGTGGTCTGTCCAAAGTTGTGAACATGTGGTCACGGTTGTATTGGACATACTGTGAGTATGTCCAATACTGAGTTAAAGATATATATTTGAAGAAATAAGGGCTGGAAGATTTCCAAATAATAGTAAAAACTATAAACCTACATCTACACAAACAGTAAGTAACTACTAGAAATTGTAAATACGTAAGTAAAAATGTTAAATATGTATACATATAATTTTTAAAGTTCTTTAACAATTGACTATTTAAAAATTCTAATAATGTATTAGGTAACATTAGGTTTAGAACATATGTATAAGTAAAATATATGACAAGAATGGCACAGAGGATGAGAGGGGAAAATAAGGTGTAGTATTGCAAGGCTCTTACATTATACATGAGGTGGTAAAATACTATTCGAAGTTAGACTGTACTAAGTTAAAAGATGTCTATTGTAAATCCTAGAGTAGAGGAACCATTAAAAAAATTAAACAGAGGGGGCGCCTGGGTGGTTCAGCCTTTAAGCACCTGCCTGCTTGGCAGGAGGCCTGCTTCTCCCTCTCCCACTCCCCCTGCTTGTGTTCCTGCTCTCGCTAACTCTGTCAAATAAATAAAATCTTAAAAAAATTTTTTTTTTAAACAGAGATGTATAGCTACTAAAGCAATAGTGAAGATGAAATAGAACACTGAAAACTTCACAATTAATCCAAAGAAGGTAAGAAGAAAAACGGAACAGCGAACAGATGGGAAACAGAAAATAACAAGATAGAGAAGATTTAAACCCAACCTTATAATTACACTAAATATAAATGGCCTAAACAGCCCAATTAAAAATGAGATGTTGCCAATATGTATAAAAAGCAAGGCACAACTATATGCTATCTACAAGAAATCCACAATATATAGAGACTCATAAGTTAAAAAGACAGAGTAAGATAAACTTTGCAGCCACCAATGATAAGTCAGCTAGAGTAGCTATATTAATATCATACAAAGAAGACTTCATGGCAAGGAATAATACAAGTGATGAAGAAGTACTTTTTTTCTAAAGACTATTTATTACTATTTATTATTTATTTTGAGAGAGAAAGAGAGTGTGTGCATCCAAGTGCGGGGAGGAGCAGAGGGAGAGAGAAAATCTTTTTTTTTTTTTTAAGATTTATTTGACAGAGAGAAAGAGAGCGAGCACAAGTAGGCAGAGCAGCAGGCAGAGGGAGAGGGAGAAGCAGGCTCCCCACTGAGCAGAGAGCCCGATTTGGGGCTCTACCCCAGGACCCCAGGATCATGATCTGAGCTGAAAGCAGATGCCCAACTGACTGAGCCACCCCGGCTCCCTGGGAGAGAGAAAACCTTAAGCAGATTCCACACTGAGCTCAGGGACCTATGTGGGGCTCAATCCCAAGACCCTAAGATCGCGACCAGAACTGAAATCAAGAATTGGACACTGAACTGACTGAGCCACCCAAGCATCCCAAAGAGGGACACTCTTTAAATTCAATTAATTAACATATAGTGTATTATTAGTTTCAGAGGTAGCATTCAGTGATTCATCAGTTGTATTTAACACCCAGTGCTCATTACATCATGTGCCCTCCTTAATGCCCGTCACCCAGTTACCCCATTACCCCACCTCCTCCCCTCCAGTAACCCTGTTTGTTTCCTATGATTAAACGTCTCTTATGATTTGTCTCCCGCAAAGAGGGACATTTTTAAAAGGAGGTCAATTTAAGAAGACAAAACAATCCTAAATGTATATGTTATCTTCAATAACAGAGTTTCAAAAAACATGAAATAAAAACTGATGAAACTAAAAGGAAAAATAGATAGAGTTGGATATCTTATCCTTTCTCTCTCAGAAATTCATAGAACAAGTAAATAGGAAATTAGTAAGGATACAGAAGACTTAATAACTACGAACTAAATGTATGTAATTTTTTTTTTTTTGAGAAAGAGCGTGCACGCAAGCTGAGGGGAGAGGAGCAGAGGGAGAGAGAATCTTAAGCAGGCTCCTTGCTCAGCACAGAGCCCAATGCAGGGCTCGATCTCATGATCCAGAGATCATAACCTGAGCCAAAATCAAGAGTCAGATGCTCAAGCAACTGAGCCACCCATGTGCCCCATTCTATGTAGTTTTTGTAAAAAATTTTTTTGTATTTTGCATACTTTCTATAAAAAATATTTTGTACACTTTTCTGTAAAACACAGAACACTCAGAACCCATAGAATCCACATTCTCTTCAAGTGCACATTGAACATTCACTAAGATATACCATGTGCTGAGCCATTAAAACAAGTCTCAATAAGGGCGCCTGGGTGGCTCAGTTTGTAAAACGACTGCCTTCGGCTCAGGTCGTGATCCTGGAGTCCCAGGATCAAGTCCCACATCGGGCTCCCTGCTCAGTAGGGAGTCTGCTTCTCCCTCTGACCCTCTTCCCTCTCGTGCTCTCTATCTCTCATTCTCTCTCTCAAATAAATAAATAAAATCTTAAAAAAAAGTCTCAATAAATTTCCACTAATTAAAATTATACAGGGTATGTCCCCTGACCATAATCAATGAAATTAGGAGCAATGAAATCAATGAAAGGAAAATATTTGGAAAGTATCAAGGGATTTGGAAATTAAACAACCTACTTCTGAAGTTAAATTTACTTTATTTTTTTATTTAATTTTTTAATTTTTTTAAACTTAAAATTTAAAAGAACAGTTAAATTTGTAAAAATTGAGAAACGTATAGTTAGTGAGATCTAGAAAATGATATTGTCTAAGTTACTGAGTTTCCTTCTGTTTCCTCTGTAGTAAAATGAAAAGATCTATGCTGTCCAATACAGTAGCCACTAGCCACAGGGCTACTGAGCACCTGAAATGCGGCTAATCTAAATGAGATATGTTCTAAGTGTAAAATGCCAATACAAATAAATACTTAGTACCAAAAAATGTAAAATATCTACATATCTCATAAACAACTTCTTAGGTTGATTACATGTAGAAATAATATTTTTAGTATATTGAGTTAAAGGTGTTTAAAATATCTTTTCCTGTTTCTTTTTAATGTAACCATTAGAAAAGATTTAAATTACATATATGGCTCGCATTATATTTTTATTGGACGGTGTTAAGACTAGATCAAATCTTCCAGGCCTTAATAATCTGGTATCTATCGTAAGCTTTAAAGGCAGGGCCCTTCAAATCTGGAAAGCATTACAACCGCACATAGTGTTTCCTTCTTCCTTAGACTCCACTAGATGGCGCTAGAGCTAAGGCCTCAAGCTAGTAACCGGGATTTAAGGTTTGTACTTGCAGCTTTCTAAACATGCTGTACTTGGGCCCCTCTCCACATCCTTGCTCAAGGTTCCCTCTAATAGGGAACTCTTTCCAAACGTGGTTACCTGTTCATTTCTTAAAATTCAGATCCTCTAGGAAGCTTTCCTTTTACCATCTGCCTCCTGCCAGCAGATAACTTTATGTACCCATGTCCTATACACGTTTCTATCACAGAACCATGAAACATTATTGGTTTGTTTACATGTTCCCCCCCAACACACTGTCTAACGCATGTTATCTGAGGTAGGTAGTAATGAAATCTTAAGTCAATGTGCAGTAGCTGGTAGGTGCTGAAGGCAATGTATCAGTCAGAATAGGCCAAGTGATGCTGCAGGAGCTTAACACAACAGAGGTTTCTTTCGTATTTACACTACATGTTCATCAGGGATCGGTCAAGGGTTCCACTCCATGGCATCCTCACTCCAAGACCTACATTAATGGTTAGAGTTCCATTTGGAGCACTGCTGGTCACTGTAGTGGAGGGAAAAAGGTTAAAGGTTTGGAGGTTTTTGACCCAGTGCTCCAATCTAGAACCTAGGTGTTCCAATCTAGAATTGACACAAGTCACTTCTACTCACAACTCTTTGGCCAGAACTAATAGAACTAATTCATGGCCTTGTCCAACCACAAAGGTGTCAGAAAACATATCGAATTTAAGTAGTATGTTCTAGGATAGCTACTGGCACGAAGTGCCTGAAAATCAGAAATAAAAAGCCAACTATATCTTTCATTGTACTGTGCTGAGATGAGTCACATAATCCCCGCCATCCACAGAGGATGGGGGAGCCGGACTGTACATGCCCAGAAGGTGGGAAGCTGGAAATACTTGCTAAACAGCACTAGTGACCATCATAGTGCAATAAACAGAAGTGATGCCCAAACCATCGGCTTCTAGAGTAGTGGCACTTAGGCTCAAGAACAACAACTCAGGAAGCAAAAGTGGCTTTGTAGAGGCACCATACCATTCGTACCCTTTGGCAAAAGTAAATCAAGTTCCCCATACATAAAATGACACACACCAAGAGTGTGTGAACGGATACATT